CCCCAAAACCCCCAAAACCCCAAAACCCCAGCAATTAAATTTTAAGAAAATTTAGGGTATTTCAAAATCAATAATGTTAATTTTAATTATTTATAAGAAATGAATTACTACTAATCTCAATAAGACCTGGATATACAAATTTACTTGAGTCAATTCGGACTAGATCAACTTCTTAAGGAAGGATTAGCAAGTCTAGCAAAAAATAAACCCTAAAATCCTGTGATATACCTTGCTGAATTTTTACAAAGCAGAGCAAATATTATTGATGGCAAAAAAATTGAATAACCATTCAGATAGAAAAACAAATTAGGAACTAATGAAAAGAAACAAGGAGCAGAAAAAATTTCAAACTTTTAGAAAAATATGAAAGTTTAAAAATCATAAATTAATAACTATATTAATGAGGTTAAGACTGTCGATAGAGATATGATTAATTAAATAGAATAAGAATTCTAATAGATTTCATCTAGAGATCATGAGGTCGAAGCTCCGCATATAGAGTAATTGGACATCACAGAGTCTAAGAAAATTTTTTAAGATGAATCAATTTAAAAACAGCAAATTTAATAGGAGAGAGTGAATTAAAACCCAAATGAGTTCTTATCAGCAGCATAGAGGTTTAATATTCCATCCAGATCAAGTGTTTCAAGTAGATTTTAATATATGGATGATTTCAATGAAGAAGATGAAGTTACATAAAAAACAAATTTTCGTAGGGAAAAATTTTAAACAGGAAACGGCTCTAGATCTATAATTGACTTAATTGAAGAAGATGAGATGAACTAATAAATTGCTTAGGAAGATTTGAATGATGATCTAGCTGAGCAGGAAAATGAAAGGTACATTCCCGGTTAATTCGATGATGAATTTACAGAGCTGACTTAAAAATCTGCACGTGTTAGCACCTTTAATAATCGTTAGATGAAAAGCAAGAATAAAATGAGGAGGGATGTGCCATTAATGGATATTATCAATGAAAATGATGAAGAAGTATAGGATGAGGAGTATAACTCTGAGAATGATAGTTATCACAGGAGTGTGCCTTAAAGCGCTTCAGGTGATGAAAATAGAGAAGAAAAATAGAAAAACAGAAAATAGGAAATATATGATGGCTTTTAAGCTATGAGATTCAGAGCACCACGAGGAGATGATATTGATGATGATATTAGCAATGACTACGGAGCAGGTAGTCAGATTGATGAAAAAGATGCAGTAAGTGGCTATAAGGAGGGAAGCATATATGAGGAAAAATAGAATGAAGAATAAAAAGAAAAAGCTGATTATGACGAAGTATAAGCAGAATTAGCAAAAGCTAAATATTTATTCCTACTCGAAAAGAATAAACTAAAGCCGAAACTTAATATCAATGCTAAGTTGGAATTTGATTCAGCAAATTGGTCTTTTGGTAATGACAATAGTAACTAGAGTAATAAACCAAACATCATAAGAGGTGGTGGCACAGATTTAGAAAGTAAAAATCAAGTTAATGACCCTTTTTCAGACATAGGGGTTCCTTTTGCTTCAGCATTAGGAAGTCCATTCTTAGATGATATAAGCTAGAATATGCTTCATAATTAGCAAAATGCAGTTCTAAATAATCATAGCATTTAACAGAATGACATATTGGGAGAAATGGAGCCTTTTAAGGATTTCATAGTTCCAATGAGCTCAGAACCTGAAGATCTTTTTGATTTATTGGGTTGTGATATCAATGCTAATGTTAAAATTAACTCACCAAATCAAACCAGAAAGCAATAAAAAACAATCATAAGAGCTGAATCTGATGATGACTTTGGTGAAACGCAAAAACCAGTTGGGGCTGTATTACTAGAGAGGGATCCTAGCGGTTAAGAATATAAGACCTCATCAACTAGGATGACTACTTCATCAGCACCATCTGAGTAGGATATAAACAGTATTTTAAATCATAATAGAGCAAATCTAATCATCAACTAAAATATCAATATGAATACTACTACAAGAGATAATGAAAAGAGAGGCATTAGGATAGCAGAACTGGCTGGTATAACTGAAGTTCTAAGCATAAAGAGAAGAGATCAGGCTTATCTTATCAAAGATAAAGGGCAGATAATTCTGGCTGAATTCGTTTAGAAATATAAAGATTTGTACGCTGATAATAAGGAATTACTACTTTAGAGAGCTGTCAATTAGCAGAATGTTAAATTAATGTAAAATGATAATGAAAGCTCAAATGTTCATATTTTGACTGATAAGACTTTGATGAAATTTTTACAAACTCATTCAAAAAAATATTCAAATGTAATTGAGGTGCGTGAACTTGCTAAAGGCGGTGAGGCTATTGTTTATAGATTAGAGCATTAGAATCTAGATGAGGTTATAGCTAAGTGCACTCTTATCAATGATAATTAGGAAGATAGTGAAATTTATGAGGCATTTATGGAGATTTTAGCTGAATCATAGTAACTTAAGATATTGGCAAACAACAACTACATAGCTTAGGTCTAGGAAGAAATTATCATAATGAACTAACAAGAATAAGTCATTACTTAGTATGTAGCAATTGTTGAAAGAGCACAGCATACCTTGTAAGATCTACTTCAAATATGGAACAATAAGGATTAGAGTGAAAGTCTGGCTGAGTTCTACTCTCCTGAGAAGCTAACTTATTATTTTTACCAAACCATGTGCATTGTTTAATTCCTGAACTAGAGAAAGTTCTACTACGGAGATATGAAGCCTCAGAATCTACTTGTGTTCAGAGACTAGAGACTAAAAGTGGGGGATTTAGGTATCTCAATTAAGGCAGAACCTGGGAAGTCAGATGATGCCAAATTATATAGACTTAAAGGAGTTACAACAGCTTATGCTAAGCAGAATATTCTTCAAGCATTCAGAGCTGGAACGAAATTATCGTTTAAAGAACTTCTAGATGCTGATAAATTTAGTGTATTGAGAACTTTTGAAAAGTGTATATAATCAGTGTCAAAATTGCATGATGAAATCTTTCCAGGTGCCAAGAAATACTATTAAAACATGTTCTAAGATCTAGTAGACAAGAGTCTTCAAGAAACAATATAAAAGTGGACTACATATTTTGCTGTTGACACCTAATTTTCAATCGATCTAGGTTATATAATGAAGCAAGAGGGTAAAAGTATAGCGCTTCCAAATATTTACCGTTTGACGAAATTTAAGGATGCCCTTGAAAATTATCTATTTAAGATTTACAAAAGATTTAGAGTTGATTATAATGATAGGACAGATGAATTCAACAAGGATAATATAGGCTGTGCTATGGCACTAGAATTTAATCCTGAAATTGATGCTTTTGCAGTTGAGTTACCTTAAAATACCTATATGAAAGCTCCAAGACTAGTTGAGCAGAATTTGTCTGCAGAAACCAAGGCATTGAAGGATAGTCAAGAATGGAAACATATATGTCTTGAAATAATGGAATCTTGGTATGATAGTGTGGATTAGTCTGGCAATAATATATTTTCAGATGACAGATTTGCTCATATGCTAAAAAAATATTTCTTTATGACAGACTAAGAATAAGGTTTTACATGCTAGGGCTAGATAGAAGTGCTTTCAATAGGATAAGCCCAGAAAAATTTCGAGTCATAATTTACTGACTTTCAATTCTATATGAGATGGTGTATGCTCACAGTATTATAGGGTACAAAGTGGGAAAATAATTAAGAATAAATTCAGAAAATTTGGTAAGATAACTAGTATCTAAAAGACTCAAGAGAGCTAAACAGCAAGTTGAAAAATTATTTCAAAGTTTGTGCTACAGCTGCCTAGATCTGGAAATACAGGAACAATGAATGTGATCTTTAGTCTCATCTTAAGTTTCTACTTGAAACACTAGAAGCTGGATTCTTAGCTCTTCCCATGCTAATTGACTAAGTAATGCAAGAAGCAATAAATCTGGCTTAATAGATTAGACTTCCCATTAAAAATGAAATTTTAGATGAATTAGATGAATTACTAGGCACTAGAGATTCTTATGACTTCTCATTATCGAGTTAGCAATAAGCTTATAAATCCTTTGTAAAAAGCAAGCAATTAGAATAGAATAAATAATTGGAAGAAAGTATGAAAGTGCATCAAGAAATTATTAGTAAATATATCAACATATTTGGCCAAGGCCATTCACTGATTTTGCAAGTATATGGAGATATGGGGAAATTGATGCTCCAAATATAGGATAAAAACACAGCATAAGCTTGGCAGTTCCTCAACAAATATTCAAAGTTATCAAGCGATGCATTAATTGAGTACATTGATCTTAAACAGAAAAATAATGGCTCATAAGAAGATTTATAAGAAGCTATTTCGAGGTGGCAGTTTGAAAACTCTGTGCTGAGCCGATAAGATTGGAATCATATACTATAGTATATATACCTAAGAGACGATTCTGACAATACTTAACGCAAATAGTTGATCTTTAGACTATCTGACCTCTTCTCCCACACTACCACCACATCCTCAGAATTTGAACTTAAAAAGGTGTTCTCTGACAACAAAATGCTTGCATTATTCTTTAAGTATCTCAATCCTTAGTAGCCTGCTTTCTATGAGGAAAATATTAAGGTGATATCTAAGGACTAGATCTTTAAAGAGCTCAAGAAGCAGATTAATGCTCATTTGATTGTGGAGTTGAGAAAAGGTTAGCAGAAAATTGATAAAGTTACAAGACCTTAGATGGAAACTGAGTAATAATAATCTATATTTGAGCAAATTTAATAAATGGATGATGCAGATATTTAGGATATGATGTTCGATGATATGATTTAAACTGAAAAGTATACCCCTGTTTGGAAAGCTAAGGGTTTGCTATGAATAATATTATCTAATGAGAATCAAACTTTGAAATTTGCATTATATTGATTTTATGAATTAGATTTTAAAATTAATATCAGATGATATTATATGAACTCACTAATGGGGTTTTGGGGTTTTGGGGTTTTGGGG